GACCTAGATTGACGTGGATTAGTGTAGTAAATAGAGATATGAATCTCCTTCATTTGACTAACGAAATGGCCTTCGATAAAGTCAAGTGGAAAAGAAGGATTCATGCAATCGACCCCATTTGATGGGATTTAAGGCTTAGTACCGATAGAAGATAAGTTGAGAGAGAATAGATTGAGACGGTTTGGTCATATATAATGGAGACCAACAGAGGCAGTAGTAAAGAGATGCGATATAGTGATGGTAGATGGTAGTGTTAGGGGAAGGGGTAGACCTAGATTAACGTGGATTAGTATAGTAAATAGAGATATGAATCATTTTAATTTGACTAATGAATTGGCCTTGGATAAAGTCAAGTGGAGAAGAAGGATTCATGCAGTCAACCCCATTTGATGGGACTTAACGCTTAGTTTGGATTTGGTTTGGTTTGGTTTATTTATTTAATTTCATGAGATTAAGAAGTATTTTACTTTAAATTAGAGCTCTTCTTTAGTTCTTTATTAATCTACACTTAGATAATGCAAATATATCTTGGTGGGCATGCTAATATGACGTATCTAAGACAACAGAAAACATAGAATATGAATGGACTTGCTGTGGCTTGAGGAGAGAGAGTGGAGAGTCTATGCTGTAACATGGGATTCAATGATTAGTCATACCAATGTTAGATAGTGTCAAATATTCTCTCTTAAATTGCCATTTTGAATAGTTAAGGCTTTACTTATCCTGTTTGAGATGATTTCTTACATTTCTACCACCCATGTTTGTCGTAGTATGTAGGTTCATGTGGTTTGACATCATAGTCCGCTGTAATTTTTGTGTGCCTGTTAGGGAGGCGCGGGGATTATGCGCGTTGTTAGAGATAAAATTAAAAGCTTATTGGATTTAGTATGACTGATCATATTATGGATTTCAAGATTGGGGCCCTCTTTTTATTGCCTGAATGTGGCTAGTCTTTTGTTCAACCATTGTCTGCAGCTGGTGCTATTAGGGGATTTGCAATGTAGTTTGATATTTTCTCTTACACTTCACTTTTTAAATTTTCTTTCTTTTGTAAGGTCTTCTTTCAAATTTCCTAATCTACCAAAAGCTGCATTGTTCTTCGCTTTGTTCGTGGTCAGTTTGATCCAACATCAAAGGTAAGGATGCTTCATTGCATTGGTTTGGTAACATCTCGTGTTTTTTCAGTTTTGGTGTAAGTTGTGGTCAATCATTTGGCATTTGAGTATTTATACTCTCTTAAATACCCAGAAATTAAGTACATGAAAGATGCACTTATATTTGTCACTTTTTTTTCTTGCAAAAATTTCAGGTAACAGTTGGAGCTTCATTTTTGTCGCAAACAATTGCCTTGCAAGATTCTACAACAGTGAAGTTTGAAATATGGGATACTGCTGGTCAAGAGAGGTATTACTGTTGGCTAAAATCAATATATATATTAATTATATTTATTTTTGTTACCAATTTCACCTTCCCAGAATCATTTTAAGACTATTTTGAGAGAGCATATTAACGTCTAATCCTGGACGTGTCTTGTTCAGGTATGCAGCACTGGCACCACTATATTACCGTGGTGCTGCAGTTTCAGTTATCGTGTATGATATAACAAATCCTGATTCGTTCAATAAAGCACAGTATTGGGTTAAGGTATGATTTGCACATATTGGAAGATGATTTTCTCTATTTCAGTTTTGGTTTATTAGTTGTAGGATATAGTTAAATGCATTCTAATTTTCTTCAATCAGGATTTAATGTGGAAAGGGCTGGTTTAAGACAATAGCTTTTTTTGTGAGACTACAGTGGAAACTCAATATTGTTGTTAAAGTAAAGCATCAGATTTGGTATTGTCAAGATAATTATGTAAAATTTGGAGGTATAGGATTTAGAAGCGCAAAACTGATTGAAAATTTTGGATGTTGAAAGTTTGTTGAGAGATGAAAATCAAAAGGACTTGACATATCAGTTTTTTTTAGCACCGGATGGATCTTAATGAAACATGTTTCATTGATTAACTATGGAAAACTGACAATGACACTATAGAAATGCTAGCTAGTTTAAAGATGAATAAGTGGTTTTCCATTGCTAATGAATTGCAATCTTGGATTGGCTAAAGCTCCCCCTTGAAATAGAGTTCGTGAGAACTGCAAAGTGGTGATATTTGTGGTCATTTTAATACTTGTCTCCTCCAACCTTGACTCACGTCGAAAATAGTTGTCCAGGAATATAGAGGACATTCTACAGTAAATTATTGCAAAAAATTTTAAACAAGGATTGTCTTCTCATCTCCTTACAAGTTAAAAGTCTACTAAAGATAGAAAGAGATTCAATTTCAAGAGTAACCCACTAAAAATCTAGCTATTTATGTTTTGAAACACATGTAAGTAGGCTTTCCTGTTGAATAGTTTGTTTAAAAAATTTTAGAAAAGCTTGAGCATTGTGTATTCATCATTTATATTGTTGGGTCTTCATCTTTACACTCTTGTTCTTTTCTCATCTTTGTTTCCTCCCTCATGTGATTTAATGTGCCTTGAGCATCAAAAATTAAGGTTTCTTCTTCTTCTTTGCTTTACACTCTTGTTCTCTTTTCACCTTTGTTCTCCTTGCTCCTGTGGTTCACAACTTGGACATTTGTGTGACCACCCAAAAATCAAGTTGTATGATCCACAAATGTTTTCTTAATTTTTTATAAATTGCTGACTATGCTATTGTGTGTATTCATTACTATTGATTTATTGTGGCTTGCTACAGGAACTACAAAAACATGGAAGCCCTGATATAGTCATGGCTTTAGTTGGTAACAAAGCCGATCTTCAAGAGCAACGAGAAGTACCAATTCAAGTGTGTGGCAAACTTGAGTACTGGATGTTACTTACATCAGCTTTTCCTTTGTATTTACAAGTCAAGATTTAGTTTGCTAACTTAACACATTCATTTATCTATATCTTTTCCCCTGAAGGATGGCGTTGACTTTGCTGAGAAGAATGGAATGTTTTTCATTGAGACATCTGCAAAGACAGCTGATAATATAAATCAGCTGTTTGAGGTATGTTCAGAACACAAAATATTTGATTTTTTGCCGATCAATTAATGAAAGGAAAACCACTGCCTCTCTATGAAAGGCTACCCATATCTATAATTTAAAGGTAAACGTACCATTGTTTCAAAATGATTTTCTGCTTGTATTTGACCATGTATATCATTTTTTATGATTTATAGTTTTGAAAAAAATAATAAATAAAAATAAATATTGATTTGAACAACATATTTTAGTAAACTTCAAAAATAAAAAAAACTTACAATACTAAATGTTAACATCATTGGTTCTTGTCTTCCTGTGTAACAAACTGTTTTTGTTTTAGGAAACTTATGTTATACAATGTGTTGTTATTAGGGCTTCCCCAAATCGTTGCATTGGGGCTTTGTTGAATTGTCTCGAGTATTTATTTTCATGACTTAACATTCTAGCTGTTTCCTTCTGGCTCCCCTTTCTCATGCATTTAGTACTATGATAATTTAAATCAATTATATGTATTTTTAAATTAGTAATTATATTACTTGACAATAATTATCAAAAGTTGTAGTGGATACTTCAGACATTGCATACATTGCAACTAGAAATGATCCTATGATATCATCCTTGAAAAGCTTGGGTAGTATTATCTTCATGTCAAATGGATACATGCTCCCTGTGAAAGTTGGAGCTCATACTTTTTTTTTTTGGGCAGGAAATTGCTAAGCGACTGCCACGCCCATCCCCTTCATGATTTTAGTGCTCTGAAAATTAGCATGGAGTAGCCCATATGAAGGGTATTGATTACCTGTGTGTAATATTATGTGCATATTGTCATAAACTTCATCTTTCTACACTGATTCTCTGCTTGATTCCATCATTTTAGTTTTAAGCTGTAAAATCATGAATTGTGCTCAACCACGAGATCAAGGTAAAATTCTTGTTGTGGGATACATGTATTCTGACTTTGATATAATAATATTCAGGCATCTTTTGACAATTGACTGCCCTGTCGAAATGCATTCCAATGCAATCTACGTGACTTCTGAAAGTTGTAAGCTCACCTTCTTTATATGCTCTCTAACTCAGCTCTTCACTTTTAAATAATCCTCTGCACCATTGTTGCATGTGGCTGCATGTTTGACGTGAGCCAAATTCCGTCCATCCTTTCCGCTTCATCTTTGGTGACAAGATTTTGAGCAACTCCCATAATTTTAGTTGGAAATTTTGTTGCAGAGATAAATACTCATTATCATAAAGAGTCATTTGCATGTGTCCTAGTAATTTTAGGAGGAAACACTAGATCCCAAAATGTACATTGTTGATGGATTCTTTTCTTTTAATTTGGGTTTGGGTCCTTTTGATAATTGATCAGATTCGAACATCAACATCTGCTTCACAATAACTCGTATGTTATTCTCAGGCTCAAGATATCAATTTAGAAACTCCATGTTTAGCCCTTAGAGAAAGTACAGTAGGCCTACCTAATATATTGTCGCGTGGTATTATTGACCAATGACTTCAAATGAAGCCGGGTAGAGATAACTTGATCGGTTAAGCATGAGACTGGATCGGTCTCACCTTATTCATTTGGTAGGTTGTCCTATTGATTGGTTACACCAATTCGGTTCCTATACCAAATGTAATCACTCTGTTCAATTTTTGATTTCGGAATCTATTTTTTAAAAACATTTAATAATTTGGTGAGAGAAAAAATTAATGAAAGATGGAAAAAGCACTTGTCATTTTTATATTATTTTATTTCTTTTGTGGAAAAATGGATTTTGAAAATTCAAAACATCTTTTTAGTATTATTTTTATTAAATTAATTTTTAGTTTTTTAAGGAAATTAATTTAAGTTCTAAAATTTGGATTGAATGGATGAATGTGTCAATCGGTTCATAATATGGTCTGGATCAACCCTAGAAAGTTAATGAGAATCTTATTTCAACCCTCTCTGTCAATAAATAAACACACTATTTGTACTATATGCTTAATCAAAATCTCTGTCACACCAAATATTCCAAATAAAATTGGATGTGAGTATCTCAAAAAGTTGGTAACCCAGAAATTGGATGCGAATCTGGTGAACCGACTTTCCTTTGATCATTTCCGCCACATTCTGGCACAGTGCATCCAGCAATTCCTTCACATCGAGAAAGTTGGCTGCCGTTATCAGATCGTAAAGAGCTTCCTGACCTCTATTTGCAAACTCAGAGTCCAACGTTTTGAGATCACTGGCTGCTTCAGCTTCAGATTCAGCATGCTTCTTACAGAATTCAATCACCATCGCGAGTATATTGGCATCGACATTAGGCACTGGAATAGTGTTGGAGGCACATTCATCTTCCATCATGTTTTTTATAGTCTACTGCAATCACCTCTGGTACGATGAATTCCTCCCCATCAGAGTTCCTCAGTATCAGCATCTTCTTCTCCAATGATGATGACATTATGGTATTTGATGGATTGTAATTAGAAGTGGATTATTATGCTACAACCAGACTCCACTTTTCTCAACTACAAAACTTGACTGCTTGATAGAAAACAAACAAGAATGGGTGGTTTTGGGGGTGTGCATCTATATAGAGAGACATATATAGGAGCTCTCTCTCCAAGTTTGATTCGAGGAGGATTTGGAATCCATATATGGAAACTTCCTACTTCTTCATGTGTCTGTTAATTGTAAGCTTTGTTCCCACAAAGACTAAGAAATACATGTACGAAAATTTTATAAAAAAAATAAAAAAATAAAAAAATTACAAATTTATATTTTGTGGTAGCAAGACCTTGTCAAAAAAAAAAGAAAAAAAGAAAAGATTTATCCACAAATTTATTTAATTTTCACAGGATAAAATTATTTTGTGGTTTGATTATGGAAGAATTGCTTGACAGTGGGACAAAGAAAAAAAATTACGAAAACATGGAAAGTGCAAGTGAATCCGTGATGAAGTGCAACCGTGCAAGCGTAAAGTTGTTCGTGCATTTTCTTTTTCTCTGTTCAACTGTTAAGTAATTCTTTCTAGAACTATCATATTAATTTTGGTCACAACCACTCACTCGTAGTCATCCACAGAGAAAAAGTGAATGGATTCTCTCCTATCATCTAACTTGGAGGTTCCTTGTGGGGCTCATCATGGATCTTATTTTGATTATATGATGTTCAGTTTGTAAGTCATTGCAAGTATGTTATTCGTAAGGAAATGAGATTGATCAAATAATTGTATGCACATTAAAATAGATTGTTTAGTTTTGATTTTTTTAAGTTTTGTAAAAGATAAATATGATAAAATGATAAAATTGCGATTATTGAGTCAATTTGAATTTTTTTTTCCATAAATATTATACCTATATAAGCTTATAAAACAAAACAATCAAATCATGAAATAGAATCCATAATAAAGTCCCCTTCCAAATAACAAGCACAATCCTAAAAAAAATAGACTCAATGTTTCATATTTCTAATGAGATGAGAGCTCACATTTTACAATTTCATTTGTTATAATTATATGAGTAATGTTAGAGACTCACAATTTGAATTCCTAAATTTACTGACAATGATGTGGTAAGAGAGATAGACGTATATGACAAATTAAAAGTTGACATGTATCTTATCACATCATTGTGGATCAAATTATGTATAGGATGTGAGAGAAGGAGAGAGGAGAAAGAAAAAAAGATTGATTGAAGTATAGTAGAGAGAAAAATGATTTTAGATTTGTTTTTTTCACAAATTTTCAACTAAACAAATTTTTGAAATTTCTTCTCAATTTTTTTTTTCCCCTTCTCAAGAGACAAATCAAATAAGGCCAAAATATGTGAGAAACGAATATATGATGAGATTTTAACGTTTTCCTAATTATCAAAGGTTTTTGTGGTCTTAAACATTTTCCTAATTATATTGGTAAGGCAATCAAATAATTATTCCAGGATATAAGTTATAAATATAGTAAACATTATTAAGTTATTCAAATAGCAAATTTATCAATAAACGAGGATAAATATATTCAAGATATATTCATGATCATAGCAGCACACGCATGCAACTTTTTTTTAATGTAAACAAATTCAAGTCTTTTAAACCATTCTCTTGGGAAAAAAAATATATATATATATACAAACATAATGATTTGGTCATAAATTTGAATAAAAATTTAAAAAAGAAAAGAAAAGAACTTATTTTTCGTGTAAGAAGTAGCTTAATTGAAAAAAATAGTAAAATATCCATCTCCAACTATAAATAGTAAGAGAGGTCCAACATATATTTTCTTATTAGTTAAGGTTCTTCAATAATATTTTTAAAGAAATTTATTTCTCTTTGTGAAATTGAAATTTCTCTATGAAGACAAATTTCTTTGTGAAAATGTTGAGGGATCCCAATTACTATAAAAATGTTACATGTTCTTTATTTGATAAAATTTTAATATCAGGGACCTTAAATTAAAAACATCAAAAAAAATTGGTCCAACAAATGTATTTAGTAAATTATTATTATTGGTGGTATTTTAGTTAGATTTAAATACATGAATATTAAGAGTATTATAAATTATAGAGAAATTCTTTGAGATTTAAATAAAATACAGTTAATATCACAATTCTAGTATAATTATATTGACTCTATTTTTAATAAAGTTAAAAGGATCAAAATTAATGTAAATGATATAAAGTAATAAAGATAAATAAGAAAAAAATAATATGCAATTGAGTACAAAAAAATATGATTTTTTTCCATTCATATAACTAAAAAGTTATTAATACGTTTGATTATAATGAAAATCCAATGTAATTGTGCACCAAAATTGTACTTAGATCTTATTTGGGAATTGTTTTTTAGTTAAAAAGTCAAAAAATCATAAAAATTATTAAATCACTCTCTTTATTTTTTATCAAGTCTTTTTATAAAAATAAAAAATAAAAAAATCAGTATAAAAAAGGTCAATTTCCAAACACTCCCTATTATATTTTTGGCATATGTAATTTAGAGGGTGTTTGGCATGTGTTTAATTAGTATATATTTTAATTTTTTATGAAAAAAATGTGAAATATGAGTTAGATTTGAAGTGATGTGATAAGGTGATGTAACCTAAATAATATGATTGTGACTCAAATAAGATAATATGTTAAAATAATGCATGCTAAATAGTGCCTCAATTTTCAAATTTATTTAGGTTACTTCTTCACCAAGGAAAGCCCTCTATATATAAATTTCATGGTTCTGCATTGTCTATACAAACCCTAATATTTTCAATATCTGTGTAAAATCCAAACAACGTACAATCAAAGATACACTATGTTTGCATCTTCTCTGTCTTCATCTTCGGAGAAGAGCTTCACATTGAAAAGCTCCAACAACAAAGAATTCATCCTAAAAGAGTCAATCGCGATCCAATTCGAAACAATCAAGCGCATAATTGAGGACGAAGAATCCACAATCACAACAATTCCACTCCTAAATGTGGATAGCGAAACCCTAACAATAGCGATCGATTATTGTTCAAAGCACACGGATTCAAAGAAGATCTCCGAAGAAGCCGATCTAAAAAAGTATGATTTAGAGTTTGTAGCAAAGAAGGACTTGGTTGTGCTCTTCAAACTTGTCTCTGCCACGAATTACCTTGATGTGAAGGGCTTGCTAGAGTTGATTTGTCAACGAATTGTAGATCAGATCAAGGATTTGATGCCGGAGGAGGTGAGAAAGATATTCAATATCAAGAATGATAAGAGATGGCAGGTCAGAATGAGCATGAATGGGCTTTCGAGGTTTAGGGTTTAGTTTATGGTAATTGGATTTATACAATGAAAATTTTCATATTATAAATTTTTTTTTAGGATTTTGAATACAAAATTTTTTGCCCTAGTTTAGTTGTTTTTGTTTTTTGGATTTTTTGAATTGAAAATCTTTTTGAAAATAATTATGATCTTGGTAAATGGCTTTGTTTTTTTATTTTTGTTTTTTATTATCATGTTTTAATGGGTCAAATACATGTTTGGTGTATTTGTGAAATAATTTTGAATATTTTTTTTGTAAACTCTTTTAGAAAAATAATTTTCTAAAAGAGTTTACAAAATTTAAAAATTTGTTTGATTGTATGTTTTGAAAATAGTTTTGGAGTTTGGGATGATTTAAATTTTTTTTTATAGTTGAATAGATGGGTGTTAGAGAAAAATTGATTGAATGATGTATAGGATGTGAGAGAAGGAGAGACGAGAAAGAAAAAAAGATTGATTGAAGTATAGTAGAGAGAAAAATGATTTCAGATTTGTTTTTTTTCACAAATTTTCAACCAAACAATTTTTTGAAATTTCTAGTCAATTTTTTTTTTCCCTTCTCAAGAGACAAATCAAATAAGGCCAAAATATGTGAGAAACGAATATAAGATGAGATTTTTTAACATTTTCCTAATTATTGAAGTTTTTTGTGGTCTTAAACATTTTCCTAATTGGTAAGGCAATCAAATAATTATTCAAGGATATAAGTTATAAATACAGTAAACATTATTAACTTAATCAAGTAGCACACGCATATATATATATATGAGGATAAATATTGTATGGAGGCCAAATATCTGACGTTATCCGTACTCCTCATGTCCAAGCTGCATTTTTCTCTGATCAACCTGAGAACACAACGAAGGTGAGCTACCCGATAGTGCGTTGTCGGAAAACCCCTCCGACAGTCAAGTCAGCACACATTGAGAGAGACAGAGAAGAGAGGGGAGACAATGTGTTAGTTTTTCTCTCACCAGAAGATGCTCCATACCTCAGTGTAGGGGCGCAGTCACGCTTATATACCTTCTGCGCGTGCCTCTGCATTCATTCGCCTGGCGATGCGTGGACCTACTCTCCTATCCCACTTTTCCACGTGTCAGCGCAAATACAGCTAAACACCACCTAACCAAACCGCCAAACGGCGTTGGCGCGAATGGACAGTCCGACGCTGCCCCCTCTTTCTACGACCGCACTATTTTCGAGATATGCAATGCTCTGAATCGAGCTCTGTTATAACCGAGCTCGGCCACCCTTCGTTATGACTGAGCTCCGTTATGACATGCATTACTTCCACTGCGGCTTAGCCGCCCTCCGCTATGACTGAGCTCCTGCTCGGTTGGATTGGTCTGCAGAGGATCTGACCCACCTAACTTAGCGAGCAAATAAAGTGAACCGGGCCCGCTGTCTGAAATTACCCCGGCCAAATCAGACCTGGGCCTTGATTGAGCGTACTACCACCGGATTAGCCCAACCCAACTCGGCCCAAACTTGCCTGGCCCAATTTGCCCGGCCATTACTACGGCCTAAAGCTAGATTATGAAATCTCCCTCTCAATTGCCCCTTAATTTTGTCCGCGCTAGCGTGACC